AGGATATGTTTTTGCTGATTTTTGAGAGAGAGAGAGAGAGAGAGAGAGAGAGAGAGAGAGAGAAACATTGATTGACTCCTATATGTGCCCTGACCAGGAATGAAACGCATAATCTTTTGGTATATGGAATGATGCTCCAACCAACTGAGCCACCTGGCCAGAGCTCAATAGTGAATCATATCCAGAAGTTATATAAACCCTCAGTGATCCTGTATGTACTTTCATGGCCCAATTAATCATACATAATGTATAAATTAGCATTTCCTTTTTTTCTCCTCAAGATACCTCTTTCAAGTTAAGTGACCTCACAATTAGAGCATCATTGAATGTCAGCACTGAAGGGAACTTCGAAATAACTTTAGCATGAACCCATTTTACAGATGAGAAACCTGAGTGACTTCCCAAAGTTACATGAATAGGGACTGAGCTGGGGCTGGAACCAGTCTCCTGGCGCTTGGAACAGCCAAACTGCCCAGGACTTGGTACACACATACTCTCCGCACTCCCTCCCCCTCACATAAGAAGTTATCAACTTTGGTCTTGGCCCCCCTCAGTTGGTGTGTCTGGACTCTGGAATCCACCCTTCTCCTCCCATCCCCTCTCCCCAGTGCCTCCTGTTCAGCCTCCACTGTTTCTGAGGTATAGCAACCAGACTTGACACAGAATTCCAGATGCAGAACAGATGTCATTGCCAGGCTTGCCTGGGGGCTCCCAGCTCCCTGGGGTGGGAGAGAGACGAGTAAGAGCAGTTCTGGTGGGGGAGGCCCCAGCCTGGTCAGAGGGGAGTGATTGGAACTGCAGGGGAAGAAAAAACAGAGAGAGGATGTTCTAGGCCTGACATGCAGAGAAATGGAATCCTCATCTTCCGGGCTAGCTGGGCTGCCAGCTAATACTGTCTTGCTGCTGAGGTTGAAGCATCCTTTGAATTTGAGGGGCTTTGAGGTCATTGGGGTCAGGAAACAGAGGTTCAATAAGCTCTCTCTCAGATGCAAGCTGGTGCAAAGACACGACTTGTAGATGATTCGATAAGGGGCTCATTACTTTGTGCTCTGGCAAGTGAGTGGAGCATATAGGTAGAAAAAGGTGGGCACAGAGAAAGATAGTATTAATCATACAAGGCATACAGCAGC